ACACCACCTCGGGACCTTCACCGCTCAGGACAGCTGCCACACACCACCAAACCCACCTGGACCGCACCACCTCTCCCTCAACGCTTCCATCTCCCACCTGCACAGTAAAACGAAGATTTTCATAGCTTCCACCCTCTCCAGAGCCCTTCATTGGCTACCGGTCTAACACTGCTGTCCTCTCTTCCAGTACTTACCTAATCACCAGCCAGCTGCCGATGCTTTCTTGGACCTGTCCCCTGCTTATCCCACTCCCCTGGCCAAGACCCTCATGCCACATGTATCAAGCCTTAAATCCAATCCACGTCATTTTTTTGGAGTTAGTTAATAAACCTTTGTTAAACCCTTTACTCTGCCTCGGCCTTGGGTTTTCTGCACGTGGGTTTGAATTTTGGTGCTCGGCCTCCGGCCGTTCTGTAACAATCCCCATTAGTGAAGACTGTCATTTCCACAATACTAAATAGGGTAAAAATTCTTACTTGAAACTTGAGTGCAGAGTTTCACACGTATTTTTAAGTCCACACACAAATATTTTTTTACACACGCACAAATTTTCCTCTTTTTATTGACGTTGTTTGTTTTTTGTTTATTTTCTCATTTCAGATCAGTGAAGTACAATCCAACCATAAACAAGTAAGGTACTCGTGTCTTCAAATTATTGTTTTTAACCCTTTTTGTGTGATGTTGTAAATTTTACTGTAACTTAAAGCAAAGTAAGCAAAAAACACAATGCAGTTAAATACTAATGTTTTGTTTTGTCTTGGACCAAATTTTCCCCAGGCCCCACGTGTGAAAGCACCAGGTAATAATGGTGTGTGTGTGTGTGAGTGAACAGGAACCTTTGTAGACGAGTCGTAATTTTTTAAACCTTTTTCTAAACCGGCTCCACCGCTCTGCAGTCTGCCCCCAACATGATGCCCCATCTGGCTCCTTTCGCCAACCTACACAGCTATGCGACCTCCCCAGCAAATAGTCTGTGGTCAGTGCCTTCTGTAACGACGGTATGCTTTGAGACAATGAGCTGCATCACAATTTCATTGTAATCTTAACTTCAAAACACTACTTTATGCTGCTGAATATCATCATATTTTGCTTGTTTAGATTTCTGAGGTAAGTTCTAAAACGTTGAACATTTATATGTAAAAGGATAAGTTGTAAACAGTTTTAACAGATTGAACTACTTAAACCTGAATGCAAAATGTGAAGCCATCACTTATGGATATAGTTGTTTTTCTCATCACAATGCTCATCCAGTTTATCACAAGCCAGTATTCTTTGTGTTATTGTTCTTTTCAACAGATGCAGCCTTCCAACAACTTCTAATCATGGTGACAGAGCTGATCAGAGAAGTCGGTGAGGAGTTCAGAGCCGTCTGTTAATCCTGCAGCACTGACCCTGTTCATGCTGGGGTGTTGTCTCTGGATTAGCCTTTGCACAACATAGATGAGATGAAGTGCAATGACCGGAGGCAAATGAAGCAATGGTCAGTTCTTTAAAGGTTATAGGACTGTTGTAGCCCTGAACTTTAGAAATTGTCAAATTCAGTTAAACTGCTTAAAAATGGCCTTCTCCTGTATGTTCTGCTTGAATATACAACAGCAGGCTATTGTTGGAAGATCCAACAAATAGAAATACATTTCACTGCCAGCAGTTTGGTTTATTCATTATTAGAAAATTAGGCTTTGAGCTTTTCAGCTAATGGCTCTTTGAGAATCAAAGTGAGGCAGCAGTTTGCTGATTTCTGCCTTGTGACTTTCATATTAATCTCATAATTTCTCCCTGCTGAAGTCAGTTGACAAGAGGTTATTCATATTTAAGCTCTAATTTGGCCTTTTGTTTTCTTCCTTCTGTTTGTTTGTGTCCTAGATGGCCTGATTCAGCAGGTGGGGGTAAACGCTGTTTCTGAGTTTGCCTTTGCCCAAGCTGTGCAGAAATGTCTCCGCTACGCTCCAGATCACATGGGTGGTGCAGGATGCCCGATATCCAGCTCGATCCCCGAGTAAACAAAAAAAAAGTGACCTGTAACCAATACAAGTAACAAATAAGCTTTTTAAAAATATAATAAATCACTATAAGCGGAAGCGAATGGATGGATGGACTTTGTTATTGATACAGAGATGTCTGTCATTTTTATTACATAATGTTCAAGGTTCAAGGTTCTTTATTTGTCACATGCGTAATTATACAAGTATAACACACAGTGAAATGTAGCCCGACACGCTCCTCGACATGTGCAAAAATTTGGGGGTAGAGGGAGAACATTATTTATTTATATACATATATAACAACACCCAGCACGCCCCTGCGGGCGGTTTATCCTTCAAGCTCGGGTCCTCTACCAGAGGCCTGGGAGCTTGAGGGTTCTGCGCAGTATCTTAGCTGTTCCCAGGACTGCGCTCTTCTGGACAGAGATCTCCGATGTTATTCCCGGGATCTGCTGGAGCCACTCGCCTAGCTTGG